AGTGTTTTTTTTTATATGATCTGCGTCTTGCTGTTTATCTTGTGAATTAAATTGCAAATAAACATTTTCATTGTACAAGTTTTCATATGTGTGGTAGGACTTGTTTATAAAACCAAATCGAGAAGCAACCATCGAAGCTGCATTTCACTCGAAAATCCCTCCAGATAAGCGAATCATAATCACTTAGCCAATTAAAATAACACATTTAAGATAAAGGAGACATTGGGTGGAGGGAGGCGTTCAGAACACTGAAATACCGCAAAACAATTCGGCAAATTTTGCTACGTCAGAAAATCGCAAAAAAGAAAAAATTCGCCAAATACCAGAATATTTGAATACCGAGTCAGAACTCGATGTCATGCCGAAACTACATCTCTGTATATTACGTTTAGTGCAAATAACACAGAAATAACAATTAACAATTTGTTAATTAACGTTTAGTCAGATAATTTTCGATTCGATTGTGATTTTCTGAAGGAGCCAAAGGAGCGTATAAACATCTTTGTCTTAAGATCAAGATGTATCGTTTGAGTTTCATTTTTGGGTGAATTTCACCACTTTTTGACCCTTTTGACCTCAGTATGCTGCGAAACTTTATTGTGCTCCAACAAAGATTTGTAATTTCGCAAACCAGGACTACAAGTGGGTGCGACAACACAACTCTATCAAGAATTTCAACGACCACTTACTCAGCCTTCCCCCCACGATTTATCTGTGAACACTTCTTAAGGATCGTCGTTATTTATCGCCAGGGGAGGGGGGGAAGGGGGAAATATGGAGGATTTTGGTTGTGTCACGAAAAGTTTTACCTGATTTCCCCCCCCCCTCCTCCCCTCCCCAAGGTTCTCTAATATTCTTATGATGTCCCCTTAATGGACGTTAACTGACAGTCAATGTTCTATAGTCCCCTCTTAATACCCTGTTGGCGAAAACTGTCCCCCCCCCCCCAGGCTCTCTAATATTCTTATGATGTTCCCTTAATGGACGTTAACTGACAGTCAATGTTCTATAGTCCCCTCTTAATACCCAATTGGCGAAAACTGTCCCCCCCCTCTCTTCATTCCCCCTGCAAACCATGTGATATCCCCAAAACCCTTCACCTTCCCCTCCCAGGAGATAAATAATAACGATTGGTGTCCTGCCGGAACCATTTTAACCAAAACTGGGTACAAACCATCTCTTAGGAAAACTGATATTTTCTGGGTAGCATTGAAAGAGGTGCAGGTTTTGCCATATACTTAAGCAAGACACTTCACAATAGGTTTACTTATCTTGGTCTTAATTCTACATCGTTCAATATTTCTAAACTTCCTTGGACGAACGCAAAGTCTCAGCCATTTCATAGTCGAATAAAATATGTCAACGGTCAGATAACCATCTCCCTGACTTTGGTATTCTCCCAATAGAAGTCATAGAGCATTTTTCAACAGGATTTCGATTTATAAAGTGGAACGTTCGTTCTGTTGCCTCTCAGACTTTAAAGAGCACTTTTTATAGATTGAACTTTCTTTAGGATATTTGATTTTCTTCTGTCCTCCAAAATTTTTCCAATCTATTGGGCTACGTTTAGGACCCGTGTTGCGCCTACAATGCACTTCGAAACGCATACTGAATGCAGTTCCCTGTGCAAACGTCTCTCGGCTTGAGGGGAGAAGACACGAGTTCTTCTCATTTGTCTCTTTAGAATCTGGAATAGATTCAAGTCGTTTTCAAGACCACTCAACCCATAGAACCGCTCAGAATACTGAGAGGTCTGGGATCTAGATCTGGTTGGGTCATTGTGCTGTGATCACAGTGCCTCTGTCCACCCAGGAGTGTAAATGGATGCAAATGGACAGTTAAGGAAGCCTGACTAAATGCTGAGAGGTAACCTACAGTACCATTCGAAGATAAGCGAATCACTCAACGCGTTCCCCACGCAGAGCCAACGCGTTGGCGTTTTGAACTTAACGCGTTAGCGTTTGCGTGTCCACGCAAACGCAAACGCGTTTAGAGAAGCTCATTAGTAGATCACACTTTAAAACCATTTTGCATAACAAGAGGCCCAAACAAAGCCGACTTTTTTGTCACATTCGCCTTAGCATCTTCACGGCGTCTGTGTATTCCCGATAACAAGCGTTATCCAAAGATCTGTTCCTGATAAAAAAAAAAAAAAAAAAAAAAAAAAAAAACCGAACTAAGAGTCAAGCGATTTCATTTTACAACCTGTAATTTGTGAATACTTTCGAAATTCTCGTTCACCTGTATCCCAAACTGGTTTTTTTTTTTTTTGGTCGATCGATTTTATGTTTACGTGCCGCATGTCTCGATATTCATCACAAGTCGCGGCGCTTGTGCTACCAAATAAATGAAATTCTAGCCGTATTAAGTTTGCGAACAACTTGGAATTCTCGGATCCAAATTTATCCTTTTCGATTGATCCTGTACCCTTTGAGGTGTCGGTTAATCTCGTAACCAGATCCTATCGTTTAACTGTAACTGAAATGTACAACCGCTTGGCGGTGGATGGTCTGGGTACGAGACTAGGTGTCAGTATGACAATACTTGACTTTATTCCTATCGAAGGCAAACTCCAAAAATTCACAGCTGACAAAGGCTCGAGCTTAAAAGATACACATCGACTGCAAGGCTTCGTTCAACGAAAGAAATATCGCATTAGCAACAGTACGATAATTCTGCAGTTTGTCTGTGATCATTTGCGTGAGGTTTTCTGAAGTTTCAAAGACTGGAAGACTTACCTAAAAGAAGTCCCACAGAGAGTCAGGAGTTACAATATTTTCCTGGCTCTCATGATTGTCTTCTTTACGTGGGTCTTGTAATAATACTTTTATAAACTTAAATCCTCGTCTTATTCTTAAAACTATGAAAATTTCTGTTATTTTTGTTATTATCACAAAAGAGATGTTTTCTATGAAAAATTAACAAGACCAAAGAATGGATATAACAAAAAATTCTACCTGAGTTTTTACAAGAAAGTGACAATGTGTTATGAAGACCCCAACATATTTAACCTTTTAACTCTCAAGAGTGAAAATTTATCATTATAATAATATCAAAACAAAATCAAGGAGACAAGTGATGAGAATAAAGAATAGTATCAATTAGGGGATTATTGGTTGATCCAATAACAAATTCTCAAAACTAACATCATAGGAATTTTAGGGTAGAAAGTAAGGAGAATTACTAATGAGATCTTGGGAGTGTAATGGTTGAAAGAATCTGCTCTTTGACTCAATCAACTCTCATTGTATTTCAAAAGCATATGACAAAGGAAATATTTTAGCTTCAGACAAGTTAAAGAATCCTTCACATAAACACTCAAGCACTTTGAGGAGAAATATAACCCCCAATTATTCTATGACAAAGCCAAAGTCCTAAAAGTTAGATAAGTGACAATGTACGATGAACACCCTGATCATCATCATCATCAAATTTGAAGTACATAAGACAAAGGAAATGTCTCAGGTCAAGAAGAGTTAAAGAAACCTTTAGATGAACAGTCAAACACTTAAAGGAAAGATTTCCCAATAACCCCATACTTTAAAGATGTAGTCCTAAAATCAGTGCACTGTTTATACCAATGTTTCTATGTTCTTATAACTGTGTGTATAATGATCTAATTATGTGTTACACAGAAATCTTGCCTACTCTGACACAGAGCAACACATGTACAGATGACTGGCCTCAATTCAAATCATTTCAAACCTCATAATTGTTTAGCCATGTGAGACCTTGAGTTCTCAAGGTTGCATATATATCATGCATAGGCTGTCCCAGCCAAATTGGACTAGTTTTACCCTTTAACTCCCATGAGTGACCAAGACAGAATTTCTCCTTACAATATCAATACAATATCAAGCAGACAAGTGATGAGAATAAAGAAAAATATCAATTTGGGAATTACTAGTTGATCCAATACCAAATTCTCCAAACTTTCATCACAAAAACTATATAGCAGACAGTAAGGAGAATTACTAATGAGATCTTAGGAGTTAAAGTGTTAAGGTGATTCCTCAGTAAAGCACTGCACATCATGTACTGTGCATAATATCACATAATCAAGCCAATAAGCACATGCGCATTCTGAGAACATGGTATTGTTTATCAATCAATGGACCAGGTAAAGAGGTGCAATGGTCTTTACCTATTAAATGAGCACAGTGACCATGTTTTATTTCCCATAATTTTGGTGCACAAAGCCCGTTACTCAATGAAGCAAATTATGACCCTGAAAGGAATGACTCGAGGAACATTTTGAGTCGATATCGTTTAAATTTGCGTAATATTCCCACCAATTATATATCAAATTGTTCGATACACTCGAGACTTACTACCTACCAAGTTTTTTTCCAGCTGCAGCAAAATGTACAGCGAACCGCTTAAATGACGCGCATGATTAGTGCCAGTACAGGCATAAATGGGGTAACTTTGGCGCATATATCTCCTAAACAAGCGAGATGACCTATCTCTCTTATTGTATTTTTCGAAACAGACATTGGTAAGGAACATTTAAGGAAAGTTTACAAAAAATTGTCCAATAACTTCTTTTCTGAGGAATCACCTTGAAGGTAGTTAAATAATTAAATCAAGTGAAATCAATTTCAGAAGTCGTATGTTGTCACTCCAGTCATTTGTAATAGGCTATCTTATTATTCATCCACGACATTAGGTTATCTACTGAAAAAATTAAGCAAGAAAGTACAAAGCGTACGTAGATTGAAACACATGACTTTTAATATTCAGAGCTATACACTTACTTTCTTACCTCATTCTGGAACAATTCTGTTAGAAAGGGAATGTGCCTGAAAAAGTGTTTAGCGAAAAGTGTTTACCAGATGACATCGTACAGAAGATTATCCTGAATTAAGCCGTTTTGAAAATTCGAACTGGTAGAGGTTACAATGAAATTGCTGCGTAAGAAAACCTTGAGAACTTTGTATACAAAAGACTTACAAAAGACTGGGTCTTAGTCGCTTTAGTCTCCACTCTGTCTTGTTTCCAAGCAACGGCGCCTTGTTGTTGACCGTCAAAGTTTATGATGGCGCGAAGGAAATGGACTTGAGAATTTCTTGAAATTTTCACCGTGAAAGGTCGGTTTGCCCTCCGATGTTTATGCTAACTGTAATCTACGCTCATTTTCTATCTTTTTCTGACATTTTTAGGAAAATAATTAGAAAACTAATGTTTTTAGGGGTTGCTTTTCGCGTTACAAGTTGAGCTGAATGCACGAATTTTCATGAAGAACTTTAACAGATTTAGGTATTGGTAAGACACATTTTCAAACTAGAGAGAGTCACGCGAACATATTTTTGCGTTTTACTGCAATTTTGCGTCATAAAGCAATTGCCTTGTGAAGAAAAATAGGGTCAGGATTGTGTGTTCTTTTGCTGATGCAAAAAATGTGTTTTCTTTGCTGGTCGTAGAAATATGACTTCAAATTCGTCCCAGGAGGTAATTCAGGCGCGCCGGACAGAATCTTTGGATGCACCAGAGATATTGAAACTTGTCAGCGCCACAACAGAAAAGCTTTTTGGTCGTGTAAATGTCGTAAATGTTATGTAAGTAGACTTCAATTAATGTGGTAGGGATTATAACCCATTTAATAAAAATGTACCGATGTTATAATTTTATTAAGAAAAATCTTGGTTCAAATGTTAATTACAGATCATTTCAACGTGATATAACAGTGATTATCAAAGAAATGATGAGCTGAAACTATCTATCACATAATTGATTCATGAATCATACAACTGACTGGAACTCTGTGCTACAGCACAATCTATTTTCAACAACTGGATCTAGACTGACTCTGACTCTGGTTGAACACTAACTTAGAGCAGACTCCCTTTAACAGATGTCTTCAACTACCACCATTACACAGATGACTTAATCATGAAGTTTAAATAAGAAACAAACTGAACAGAATAAAGTTACTTAAGCGAGACCAGACATACATGTAGACCTTTGGACTGACAAATAACTTTTCACTTGTCTCTAATGATGACTTCTGATCTGCTGTTGTTGTGAAAAAGTCAGTCACTACACTCAATAATATACTTCTCAGGAGTATACTCTCTCAGGGTTGATTTGACTCCATGATTAAATGTTATATAATCTATAATCTTCCATTAATTTTGCAGTGAAAAAGCCAGTTTGGCTGTAACATTGGTTAATGCAAACAATGATGTCATGGGCCATGCAGCATTCTTTGATTACCCCAATCTACCAAGTTTGGATCCTGGGAAATGGGAAGAATGGTTTCATACAAAATATGACTGCAAAAAGTGCAGTGTAAGTGTATTTTGATTCTGAAATAGATTTCTTGATAATATTTATTTCCTCAAACAAGCACCCATGCTCTAATAAGCACCTTCCCTAAATAAACACCTACCTATAGGGTGTAGAGTCAAACACCCTCAAACACTCCTCCCAAAATAAATCCAAAAATAAAATTAATTCTCCAAACTATGGTTACAAGAACTGTATGGCAGGCAGTAAGGAGAATTACTAATGAGATCTTGGGAGTTAAAGGCATTATAAAAAGGTGATCCATTACAAGCTTCTCGGTTTTCTAATTTGTAATCATTGGAAAGTGGTTGTCATCACCCTCTGTACATAAAATTGCTATGTATATTTTTCAATAGTTTATCATCCAAATCTATTACTACAGTCTGTATTGTTTTCATTCAACCAGCCTCTCAACACCCTCTTCATGAACTACTTTGTAGCAAAGGCAGATTTTGCATATGGCTGTGCAACAGAAATTATCAGGTGAGTTTTTGAGTAATCTGTAAAAAAAATGGGCATGTCGACTGGCAACCATTTGAGTTGCAGGTGTATGCAGACTTAATTTAGTCTTTTTTGTGTGTATAATAACAAATTGTTATCCTGAAAATTGATAAGCCAAGAGAGCTATTTTCTTTGTTTACAGAACTGTTTTCAATGCTGTTCCAGCTCTTCATTATATTTTCCTCATTGTACCAAGAGGAGTTGAGACAGGTAATATACTGGTTACCAGTAAAAATTAATTATCATTATACACTTAGTCATATAGTCAAGGAATTGATTGGGTAATATTGCTTGAGTGCAAGAACTGCCCTTACAAGGGTATGTCATTCTTTTTTTTTTTAATTGACTCTTCTATGAAAATGTATAATATGGTTGTAATAATAATAATTTGTAAACTTAAATAGTGTATGTTGCATGACATAATGATTGTGTGTGCTTTGTAAAAAATTTCTAAAAGATATGATAAAACTAGCAGAAAAAATGGGGAAAAAAACTAAAATGCTATGTCTTCAGGTACTAGTGACTCACACCCTATTTCACCCTACAATATCAGCCCTGAGTCACACACTTAGGTCACACGAATAAAGGAAAGATTACCAAGTAAAGAAGCTCTTGATTGTTAAACAAATTCTCCTTGTCAGCAACTTAGGAAACTTGTAGAGAACAGTATGGAGAATATGCATATTGATGTTTGGATGTAAATGGTCAATAAAATTATTAAAGATGAGATTCAAGGTCTTATTAACCAACAAGTAAGCCTATGTTGCAAGTGCAAGACATGCATTTCTCCTCCCACGGACAGATTTGATTAAAGTTGGGGAGAGGTTAACTGGTAGTTCTTGCTAAACCCCTCGCAGACATCTTGCTGGGTTGCATGGCTCAGGCTTCTTACTTTTCCCTGGGCAAACAAAACACTGAGCATGTGTCAAAGTGTTAACAATGTTAGGGTGTACTTGGAGGGTAAGGTCCTATTGAGTATATGTATAATGTTGCATTTCAATATTCTTTTCTCTTGCTTATTTAAGGAATACAGTTAGTTATTTTAGAAACACTGATTAGGAAGCAGTTTGGTCCGCACTGTTTGGTGACATTTTTTTTTTAATTAAGTGTAAACAGAGCTAGTAGTTTTGGTTAATTCACACATTTGGATTGTTCAATATATGCAATCTTGTCCAGCCCTTAGATCAAAGGCTGACACTGTCATAATTAATGAGCAATTGGTAATTTAAGTGAATTTTGTTTGATCTTAGAATGTTAATGACATTTAGTATGTTAATCTCCATTTTGCAGGACCAGTACTGACAGAATTATTTAAGCCAGTGGCATTTAAAGAGAGTTTTTCTGGAAGATTGAGTATTGAATTGCAAGTGTGTCATCGTCATGATCACAGTGCGAAATTACACATCAGACCAGCAAGGTAAGATGGCCTGGTTCTCCAAGTATTGCTTGTTCATCATTCCATAAAGGAGCTTTGTGATACATGTACTTCAGGGCTCCAAGTTGGGACCATTGCAATCTACATGACAAGTAGGAAAGAATTTTGGCCACACAATTTGCAGTGACAATGCATAAGACTGGCAATCTGTGTGTGGTAGTCATGTATTAAGGAATGATGTAACCTTTTTCAATCAACTATTTATTTTAATGGTTTGAAGTTAAAGTGAGATTTACTGTTGCAAATTTAAGATATCTGTATTAAATAATAACAGTCATTTCCTTATTTCAGGCACTGTGTACCAGTATATATCTATGCATGCAAATTGTGCATTTCCTTCCAGCTATGGTGACATGTGTACATGTATAAAATTGACACTGCACACAGTAACTCAGCTCATGTTTCCATCACTCAACACACCTTTGAAAAAATCTTTTCCTTGCAGGGTTGAGGATCATGATGATCTTACACCAATTTTTAATCGACAAAGTGATGTCCTCACATCTACATATGGTATGTCTTCTTTTTTAAGGGTTAAATAACTTGATTAGGGTCCTGTTCAAATAATGTCAGAAGAAATGTGCATATAACTTCCAGCTACTCATTTTTTTTTTTGGAGGGGGGGGTTAGAATTACATCTTAATCAACACACCCCCCTCTTCAATTGCAATTTCAACCTCCCCCCTCCAAAAAAGGAAAAAAAAACATCCAGTTGGGAAGAGATATACAATGCAAGGCTCAAATTTGATAGACTGATTGTTATTTTTTTCCTTCAGGTGACTTTTTCCTGGCAGAGCTTATAGAGGCTCAGGATGAAGACAATAAATGTGTTGTTGCTGATGTAAGTTGATAGATTAGCACAGAGGAGTCTCTAACCCATAATATTATACCTAACCCAAGATCACTAAACAAGTTCTTCACACATTCTCTATATATTTCCCATGGCTACTGACAAGAACTAATCTGTAGTTACTCCTTGTGGTTTATTCAAGTTTACCTTTGCCACAAGTATCTTGCTCTTTGAGCTTGTTTCTGTCACTTTAATTAAGAAAGACAAATGCTTCAAGATGGGATGAAGCATGCTTAAAGGGAAGTGAAGTGTTTGAAACTTGGTGTGATTAACTGTAGATGCATCCTATAGCTCTTGGGGAAGAAATTTATGACCTGAAGTACTTTTTGTAACTTCTCTGGTTGGAACATTCCCTGAAGAACCCTACTCATTTTTCCATTTAGACTAATCACCTCATGAACTGATTACACTGTATTTCTTAGAATGATAGATAATGATAGATAATATGATATTTAAAGAAAACAAACAATTTTTTCAGGGGTTCTTACTTAGTTAAAAAAAATTATCTTAAGCTTCCTTCATCCTTTTATGATTCTTAAGGTGAAGGGCACTGCTGTTGGTTTTATGAGCGTCTGTTCAAAAGTTGATGTAGAGTTACTGAGCAGCTGTTTTGACTTAAAGCCATTTAATGGATTGCAAAAACTACAAGGTCAAACACCAGGTAAATTTGCCATTAATTTGTCAATTAAAATCTTTGCATAGACTGTAAGTAATACATGCTCTTATCCTCTCGATTTCTTTGCTGCCAAGCGTAACTTCGGAGGGAATACACGAATAAATTATTTGAATGAATAGCATTCGTTGATACATGTATCTTGAGGATCGGTGTAGAACGGCGAGTTAAAGATAATATTTTGTTCAAGAGGTTCTAGAGGGGAAAGGCCGCTTTCCGCTATTTCACTACTGTGTTTTTCACGTTGCCAGCTCTAGAACTTTCTTACGGTGATCAATTCACATTATTAACTTCGTTGATAAAACCAAACCACATTTATGTGTTAACTATCGCATTCGCTGTGTTGGAAAAATAGAAGAGAAATCAGACCATGTCTAACCAAATTTGATGACAGCGCTAGAAACAAAAAAGGTGTTAAAAATTGCTTAATTTTGAAATACCATGTGCAAATTATGTTGGGTCAAATTGTTACAGTGTCCGAACAAAAGAAGATTTGAATGGACATACGTACCTTGAAGGGGAAAATTTATTTTCTGCTCTGAGGCAACTTTTTCTTTATCAGTTTGAATCCTTGAATGGTAATCACCCGCCTTCATTTTTTGTTATCTGCAGCACTAGGTACTGAAAAAGCACCAAGTCCTGAAAGAGAACCAAGAGTCACACCGTCAGACGAACAGGTACAAAGAACATCGCCATTAGAAGAACGGACAGAAACGTAAGTAATCAAGCGAGTGATAATGATTTAGAAAGGATACTAGATTGTTTTTCTTTTTTCTTTTAAGTAATTGTATGAGGTGCGTCCGAGAATTAAATTTTTCCTCGAAATTGCGGGTCAGGATCCTCAAAGAGGACTACGTCTAAGAGTGTCTCGAAACTTGATTATCAAAACTAAAATTTGGAAACTCGATTCGTGAAACACGAAACTCGATCCTCTAAACTTGAGTCTCGATTCTCGAAACACGAATCTCGTGCTACACTTTTCTCGAAAGGCTTCATTTGAGCGGTTCAGTAACTTTCTTTAATAGACTTCTGTTAAATGTAGTAACTGCTAGAGGTGGTCTTGACGTACATACTTATAGATAAAGCATTCAAACTACTTTTACCACCGGCTACGAGTGAGCTTTTTTGATTTTGACTTCTATTTATCATATCTTCTTCTATATTTGTCATGAACCTGATTCATTACTAAATGATCAATTTTTACTGTTTTGTACGTGAGCTTTGGTTATCTTAGACTTCATATCTCTTGAGCACTGACTTATGCAATAGGGTGTTACTGCACCTAAGACTGAGGTACTTATGCACCTTACATAGAGAATAATACATGGGTACATGTTGAATGGAATATTTTCTTCGAGAGTTGAACTAGATGTCTAACGAGTGAGATGCAGAGTCGGACACGAGAAGAGAGATTCCATATCTACCAGGAACCGTCTATAATTTTTTTTTTATTATTATATAAACGCAATAGGCCTTTACTAACGAGAAAAGTCGACTTTATTAATATATGAAAATGGTGAACGCTTTGCCATTCATTCATCAACCTGACCTGGTGGCGCGAAAGGCGAGTGACGAGTCAGCAGCTGATTGATGGTATCAAACTGCGATAGCTTTCCTCAGGGCTGGAAATCCTTGTAAAACGGCACAGTTTATTTAACAGATGAACGTATTTTTTGTAGACCAAAAGACTCAACAAAGCAGGATAAAGTTGAAGAACAAGTGCCGGCTCACTCTGCCAGCCTCTCCAGAGTAAGTACTGACTAGTTAAAAGCAACCTGCAAATTTCTGATCGTAGCAATATGCAGGATATGCGTGTCACATATGAACCTACTCACGGCTTAAAGCTCGATGGTAGAGCATCAGGGCGCGGTATCCGAAGGTCTGGGTTCGATATTTTCAAACACAGCCAGGGGATCAATTTTGACCTCCCGTGCGCCAACTTCCCGCCAAATATTTCAAAGGAACTCTGCTGATTTTTCGTTGGGGATTCGGTTTTCTTCCTTGCTCTACGCTCACGACTGAAGGAGTAACATCTTTCTCCACTTCTTGAGACCTAAAAATTATCTTAAATTTACGTTTCATTTTTTTTAGGCATCAAAGGGTGCAACCGATGGAGAACCAAGCGCATTTTGCATCCAACTCTTTTGCATCGACGAAAAATACGAGACGAGGTCAGTAACAAAAAGAATTACATATTTTCTCCTTCGGTGTATCTGATGTTACCGTATTTACTTGATTAAAATCTCAAGTGTTTCTGTTGAGGTCTTTGTTAAAGGAAGGGTTGTATTTCATTGAAGAAATGTAAAATGGTTTCCGTGTTTACATAGCCTGATGTAAACACGCGGGAGGTTGGGAGAACACGAGATAAGCGTAGGAAACCAACTAATGAAAGAGGAACGAAAACCGTGTTTACATACGCTCATGTAAAATGGTTTTATGGCCAATCAGAGCGCGCGTACTATTTGAATTATTTTATAAAAATACTTCTTCAACAATTGACGGCACTGATGGTAAATCTCTTTGGTAAAACAGGAACTTTCTCAGTTCCAATATCTTTACCCTTCATTTTACATATGTGTTTGAACCTTTAAGTCTCAATATCTGGTAACATCTCCTCTTTAGCTGCTACACATTTCCTTGTAAATATGTTACCAGAATTTGGTGTATGATCAGGATAACAACTTTTACCTGATAAGTTTGAGTCTTCTCGTTACCTATTTGCTGGATATTGTACGGATTGGATAAGGGGAAATTACATGTTAATTACTTCTGGGAGTTAAAAGGCTAAAAGCTGCATTCTTCGCAGAGGGTACAGCGTTTATAGTAGGGCGGCGTTCATTGGTAATTTTGCTTCTACAACAGCGTTTAACGGCGGCGTGTAATCGAGTAATACGCTATCCTCTGTTGTGAAACGTTAGCTTAGCGTATCCCTTTTTCACTTGATTGTATTAAAACATAGTTGTTTATTCTTTTAGGTCTATAGATTTTCTTCCAGCGGTGTTTGACCTATTTCCAGTAAGTACCGAATACTTACTTTAGTATTTGTCGTAAATAGAGTGTTGTAGAGCGCCGGACAGGGTTCAACTGAGTTCAAGCCCCAGACCGGACTAACACTCAGGGATTTAAAATAACTGAGGAGAATGTGGTGCCTGTGTTAGGACATCTGCAAATGGTCAGACGTTCTAGTGCTCTCAGATAAGGATGATAAACCGCAGGCCCCGTTTCTTGCATCTTCTCTGTACTGCTTTATGGCAGGGAACGTCAAAGAATCCACGCACTTTTCGCAAAAAGGACTGAACGTGGCTCCCGGTGTTGTGGTCTGGCCATGTTGTTGTTTATACAGGCCACTATTCAAACCAGCCGAGCTCTGAAGCTGAACAGGGCAAAAAGATAAATGAAGTAAATACATAAGGACTGTCTGATTGCAGAGAAACTTTAGTAACGCAGAGAGGAAGGATTTTAGTGGTTTATCTTATTGCGTTGACCAATGAACCGCTATTTGTTATTGTTACTATTATTATTTTTTTTTTTAATAGGAAAAAGACTACTGCATTTTAACAATGCCTCATCTTGTACCAGAGTTCCCTCTTCTTCAGTCTTTTGTGGTACGTTTTCGTTGCAGTGTTATTGCGTAGTTTTATTGTCCTGTCTAATTGTAAGCACATGCAGTACTTTTCATCAAGAGATGTTCATCCACATGATCATGTTTTTCCTTCATGACTCACGCTAAAGTTACCAGTTCCTTTATTTCAGAGGGTTACTCCAAGAAAGTACAGCACATTATCTCAAGAGCTTTATGTGTTTCACCGATGGGGTCTCATTGAGTAAGTTCTAAGTTTTTGTACTTAACCAGATTTACTTAACTGTTTTTTGGAATTTCAAGTTCAGGCTTAGCTTACATTAGGAAATCAACGAAAATTTCCCAAATATTGCGTTTTAGACTTATTTATTTATATCGTTTGAACAGGTATCTCGGAAACTCGTGGTCAGATTTTTCTTGTCAGTTCCTTGAGTATAACATTTCGAACTACAATTATTTTAACCTTTGCCCCTGGTGTGTTTGTGTTCACGCGCGCTGCACGTGATCTTGTAATTCGGCCAATTATGCCCACAGACCTTGGACTTGAATCTGAAGCCTACCTGAACACTTGGTTTGCTATCTCAAACTTGTCGCTTGTTTTTTGTTTGGATTTTATGGCTTTTTGAAGACTTCCCTCACAGCCAAATGTTGTACTTGATTTGTTTTATTCGTTACACCCGAGTTGACGGAGATTAGGCTCTAGTCTCGTGATCCATACATGATGTTTTGTTGTCAACATCTCGTTGTTCAATGTTATATTCATTTAGAACTGTGTTTTTACTATTTGTGCTTTTTCTTCTGGAAGATCGTTTCAAGTGAGTCCCTGTACCTCGGCTGACACTGAAGGAATCCAATCTGTTGTCTCACAACTGAATGGCGCAGATATCATAATGCAGTGAGTACATCCACCAAAAAATGTTGCAAAAATATTGCAAGTTTACACAGAGGTTTCAATTAAGGCGAGGCAACAGCATTTTACCGCTGTCCATAGGACCTCTAACCACCGTCGGTTGAGCACTCGTGCAAGTTTTCGTGCCTGGGTTGCGCCTTAGGGCACAGCGGCCTTTTGCACCATCGACAGCCACCAAGGGAAAAGATTATTGAAAGCGCTGTGAACAACAATGTCATTTTGCAACACGATTCTCAGTGATCATGGTATTGACTGCTGTCTCTATGTTTTTATTGCAGAGATGTTCAGCAATACAATAATGATAGGAGAGACCCGGTAGGTTTTTATAGTAGATAAACGTATAAATTTTATGTTATTATATTATTGCATGCTGATCTGATATCAATTTTATTTCATTCTCGCGCCCTCAACCCTCAATATTTCTCGACGTCTTGGACCACTACTGTTGATAAGACGAACATCTGAATCATATCATAGTAACTAAACTTATAAATTAAGCATTGGTTGTCCTCTTTTGTCTCAGCAATTGTTGCATTTTTTTATCTCGATGTACACATTCGTGTATCTTGTAACGCATTTATTCAAATGAGCGTCGCTCAACGAGTTTGCTAAAATCTCTTAGAGGCACCTCATGAGTCTTTTGGACGAGACGAAACGTGGCATCATACCAACCTTGGACTATTTTTCAGAAATAGTTGATAATTTCTATTTTGTGAATGCACCTCTCTTTTTGCTGTTTTTCTGGGATCCCAATGCCGTTACCAGACTCCACTTTTCTGGTGAGGGTTAAGTCCAATGTTGTATTGTTAACAATATGTCTCATTTTTATATGATTAAAGGATGGTACTGAAATTCAGTGCTTTGTCGCTAAGAGTTTGGATCAAGTTGTCGGCGTCGCCCTCCTTAGACGAGAAGAGGTATCCTTTTTTTTGTTTTGTTCTTTTCTTCTGTTGAGTTTTATGTGAAGCAAAGAGCTTCGGCTCTGCAATTTTGACCATTTCCGTTATTCAGCCGTTCTTTGTCATGTATTGTTTAAACCTTCACATTCGTCTTCTTTCTGCTCCTTTGTAGGATATAGAATATATCCGCTCTCATTTCAACATTGAAGATTTTATTTACTTCAATCATCATAAAAGAGATGAACATGGCCGTCTGTTCCATTTTGCTCTCAATCCTGTATTTCAGCAATATTCCAAACACTTTCTAAAGGTAAGATGTACACTGAAAGTTAAAGCTTCAACAGCTCATTACTGGTGATGCAGATGTGTCTTCTGACAATCACGTTTGACCATTACATGTTTCTCTCCTTGTAGGAAGTGCTAAGACTGGCCCACAAATCTTGCCTGTATTACCCAGTCTGCCCAAGATACACAGAAACACAACCAGTAAGTTAGCATCAATCTCAGATTTGTAGTACAAACACTATTTATGTCAAATAGTTTTGCGCGCGCACGATTAATATCAACGTTACACGTGGCTTAAAATAAACTCTCGCTAAAACTGGGAAATATCTGGTAATATTCTTCAAATGATTTTCATCAATTTCAAAGGCATTCACGAAAAGTCTCGTTTTCAGTTCAATTTAAGATGGAGAAGTGTTTTTCGGTCAAATCTATCGTTTACAAAGTCATAAGTGAAAAATCTGACAAGTCAGCTTCCACGCAGTAAATGTATTTGACGCCGAGCTCTTTTGCAAAATTTCTTCCCGCGCGCTTAAAAAAAATCTTAGAAGGATAATTACCGCCGTAGTCTTTACTGGCCTCTAAATTCCACGAAGCTTACAGTTTTCCTCTACCTTCTTTTCTGGGAAAACTGTTCACTTCTCAGAGCACATAACGTCCGCGGAAAAATAGCTCGGCATGTTTTCGCGTCAAAGGAAAACGTATGTATTCGTAAACATAATATTTCCTTACAGTTTTTATTCCAGATCTTCAACCAAATTCAGGCTGTTTATGTTTGTTTTCAGGGCTCCAAACCCCATACGACTGTGACAGCGCTTAATGACTTGGTACCAATCAGGTGTGTAACGGGACGTCCTCATGACATTGAAAAACGCTACGAGAACTGCTTCTAGCGGAAGTTTGACTGTATCAAATGTTCAGGCGTAATTATTCCTCCATGTTCCTGCTAATGATGTTAAAAATGTCTTGCTACAGAGCTCGTCGTCAAATTATATACCCATTGGATCAACTGGGCGGAAATGCTCCCTCAGAAAGAATCTTAGCAAATAAGGTAACTTAATTTCTTTTTGATGAAGGTAGTTGTATCGTGAATGGCTTAGAGCCCAATATGCAGAATGAACCAATAAGAAACAAGGGCAAACGCACATGACTGACATTAAGCGCGGGAAAACGCGTGTGACCAAATGCCGGTTGGTTTTATTTCTACAGTTGATTGGTTAGTCATCGTTATTTCAACTAATCACAGACCGTGAATACGTCACCCCGTGATTAATTTCACGCCTAACATGGGTCGTGTTGCGCGCGAAAGTAACCAAATCGCAGTTAGCTTTGTTCTTGTAGCCCGCTGATTTAGGAGGCAGCGCTAGCTATTTCAAACAATCTCAGTGGGTTGTGAGGTAAACCAAAATCAATTCATGGTGTCGTCTTTCAGTCCTAATTTCGTTCTTATATAAGTCGAGTAATTGACTAGGTTTTAGTTGTGTCATGCGCTACTTGTGGTCTTTACAACCATTAGGATTTAGAAGCAGAGCCACATTACTTCTTCTATTCCTCTTTTCCCCTTTTCTTTTGGAGCAGTGGAAGATGTGGATCCCTGGCAACTTATTTTCATTTTTCATTTTTCATTTTTTTTTTCAGGAACCCTTTGCTTTGACTCATTTGAACAGAAAATTGACTTTAGAACCAAAGGTTTGTTTGTCTCATTTTAGTGATCTTTACACCTCGTAGGTTACTATGTGGGATGCCTGTGGCAGACCGCGTTAACATTCGCTTGAGTGTCGTTGCAAGATATGGACATTAGCCACGTGCTTGTGCTTCTCGCTGATGTTGCTACCTGGATGGGTGACCGCACGTAATATCCCGGGTTGTTGACTTGTCTTTTCTTGTCTTCGTTTTTCGATTTCATTCCTGTTATTTTCCACGTTATTTTCCACGTAAAACCAGAGTAACTGTAGATGACGACCAACGTATCCCACTTTAACACCTTCAGTCGTCTTGTTTACGTATACATGTGCCATTCGTAACTTGCCATGACAATTTCTTTTCGATGTAATTATTTAACAGGTTACCATTAATGCTCGGATTGTTGTGGTCGGAGCATCAGATGTGGGAATATCTTTCCTTGAAACCCTCTTGTTTTGGTGAGTTTGCCTTTCTGTAGTTTGTCACAAAAACTCGAAGTAAAATGAATGATCGACGTCAAGGGCGGCGAGAATTTTCTATACCAAAGCGAAGTAGAGCAAACTAACTAATTTCAACGGTGTTGAAAATTGATAGAAGTTTGACCTACATACTTTAGAGAATTCAGCGAGCGATTGATTCTAGTCAGGCTAGTTTCCTCACATGGAAAGTGAGACACGGATTAAAATATTTAGTAACAGGTTACCGTGTAACTCAGGCCCCAGCCTGATAGTGATTTATCCGTTGGATAGCGTTATTCGACCTTTATACAACTGGGCCCTGGATGGTTACTATATACTTCTCTTTTCTGTTTTAGCCCGCATCTTCGTTTCAACAATTTAACGCTAGTATCCACACATGGTTTGCCAGGCCAGCTTCCTCCAGACGAACTGCGTTCAAAGTGCCTTCCTTCCAGGTATTGAACTCATCTGTGCAGTGTGTTTTTCTTTTCTTCCCTGTTATCTGCTAGTGGTTTCTTATGTGAAAATTCCTTTCCAGTTCTCTTTGAAATTAAACCCGTTACAGCGAGCGCTTCACGATAGCCTGGTGTCTAACGCATTGTTTCATCTGAAGGTCTGAGTTATATTTCAAGCCAGAAAAATCATGTTTTTGAAACTGTTATTATTATTGTCCATAAATTTCGCTTAGGTTTAGATCCGCGGAGATCAGTCTTGAGCAGAGGTGACTAAGAAACTCGACCCTAGACTTTCAGATTTCCTTGATCGGAACACAGTTTGTCATTATGAGTTTGCTTACTTTTGCCTTCCTTAGTCTTTGTTATACTCAAGACGATTTCACTCACATGGCATTGGAAACCTGGATCAAGGTTGTTGAGGGCAAAGTCATGGCACTTGACAGGTAATTCTCCTTACTATCTGCCATACAATTTATATGATGTTAGTTCGGAGAATTTGGTATTGGATCAGCTGATAATCTCCTTGTTGATATTTTTCTTTATTCTTATCACTTGTCTGCTTGATATTGTATTGATATTGTGAGGAGAAATTCTGTCTTGGTCACTCATTTAAACTCACTTGGTGAGGAAGGTCCTTGCGTCTCAAGAAGATGTATTTTAAGGTCCTTCCTTCGTTACACTGGAAAGCTATTCATTATAACCTCGTTTGATACCTAGTTACGTTAACAGAATTATAAAACACAAGTGCAAGTGAACAGGATAGATTAGTTTGCAGTTAGACTGACGTCGCCGTTTCGTTTCGGCTAAAGAAATTTATCTTTTGCCCTGAATGCCAACGGGCATTTCATGAAAACAATGATGTGGTTAGAAATCTCCTTGCGATAAATTTACAACTTCAATAAATTCCCGACGGGACTTGACGCGCTATGCTTTCTAAAGCATCCCAGCGCGAAAGCGCAACTCTCTGTGCTAAAATCCTCAAAAATTGTTTTTCTTTTTTTTTGTTTTGGGTCTGTTTTATTGTTATCTACAGAACGAACAAGGTCGTCAAAGTGAGCGAAGGAGCATTCATTCCTTATGATTACCTTATTCTGTGCACTGGTCAGCAGTTTCAAGTCCCTGTACCTACTGGCGCTGATATCTCCACTTTAGTCACTACCAGTGAGGTGACAATACCTCAAGTATCACGATACACGGGCCCCCTGCCATCGTCAGTGTTCACTGTTAATACAGAAAAAGACTGTGAGAACGTGTTGAGCTTTATCCGGGGGGAGTTTCTTACAGGTGAAGGTAAGCCGTACGTGTTAAAGTTAAATGGTTACTTTTTAGTTTCTGATAAGAGATGAGGTCAGGTGGTTTATTTAGGAGAAAAGGATAACTTTTTTTCGAGGGGGTGCCTTTTATGACAGAGCCAGTGGTAAATACAATATGTTAAACGATCTCAGTGGTGGCGAAAGAGGCATCTCTCCATGGAACATTTACAAAACCACATTTCAGACCTCAATTTGATCATATGCAACTTTGGTCACCAATGTATGCGTGTGTGATTTGAATCATATTTAAGAAATTTAGCAATTTGTTTGATACACCTCTCTCCTAACAATTCCAACAAGTCGTGTCCGTTGGTCGGAGCACCCAATAAGTATTTGGGAAGCCTGGTTTCGAACATGACGGAGCCTTATCTGTTTAGGCCTCTTTTGTTGCAATTTTTTCAATTGCGGTCAACCTGGGAATAATTCGCCATTCGTTATCATCCACAGGTCCAAATATGTTTGAAGCAATTTTCATTTGAATGCCGAAAGCAAATAGGGCTTGCTATGGTTTTTTCTTTACCTCGCACTGTGATTGGTTCATAAAATCTCGCGCCACTTTCTCGACCAATCAGTTTCAAAACTAAAACCAATCACGTCTTGATCACGCGTTTTCCCGCCTTAAGGCTCCTTGTGATATTTTTTCTTTGATCTGATTGGCTGTTGTGATTACGTTGGTTTTGGTTTTGCGACACCCGATTTAAAAGCGCTCTTTTTCACTTATTTGTAATTTAGCAGTTTTGTTTTGTTTGTGTTTTTAAGGAAAAGCCCTTGTGTACGGAAACACACTGGATGCTTTCGTCATGGTGCAAACCCTTCTAGCGGCTGGACTCCCTGGATCACGTGTTGTGCTCGTTCAGCCCCCAGTCTCGTTACCAACCTGTTTTAATAACCCGTTTATCGAGGATGCGGTTTCTGCAGCACTAAATGAATGTGGTAAGATTCCCTAACACACATCAATATGCATGGTAATAGTGGCAATCTTTTGTCCAATCTTTTCAGTTTTTTATTATGTTTTGTTCGTTTGTTTTAATGGTTTTTGCTAACGTACACGATTTAATTCTAACATTTTTGGTACAATGAAAGCTTAACCCTTCAACTCCCAGCAGTGACCAAGACATACTTTCTCCTTACAATATCAGTACTTTATCAAGAAGACCAGTGATGAAAATAGAGAGAAATATCAGAGGATTATCATTTAATCCAATACTTAAGTTTCAAACTTATAGGCAACGTAAAGAAGACAGTGAGGCGAATTTCTAAATAGATCTTGGGAGTGGAAGGGTTCGAGAATTAAATATTCATTTTGTTTTTTCGTAGAAAAGGAAGGAAACTCTCGTAGTTTAGTTAAATTTCATCAGGACCTTCCACTTGAGTCCGTTTATGGATTGTACAAAATATTGCAACCTGGAATAGTTTAGTACATCACCAAAAATTTTCAAAAAATTCTGTGAATCTGCAACTTTCGTTGACGTTATTTCTCTACTCTTTTCTTCCTTACATATTATTCTTTTAGAATCGTTTTCCGTTTAAGAAACGTTTTTATTCCATAATCGTAACATTTTGCCCTGAAAAACAGCAGAGTTTAGCTACCCCATTGCTAAATTCAAATTGATTTTTATGCTTGTTTACTTATCATAATTTTAAATATATTCGCATAGGCACCGCATGATCCCTTGCTTGGTTGAAGATCATTATAAACTTTATGGGAACCGGTTTTATTTTTTTCATTATTGTCCCTAAAGGAGTGGCGTGTCATGTCGGCTTCACACTCGCCCAGTGGAATGACGGGAAAGTCGACCAGCCTCTGTCACGTGCTACGTTTACGTCAGAAAACAAACCACTCAGTGTTGACTGTGAGGTGAGCTAACTTGAGACGATAATAAAGAGAGGAATCTTTGCACAAATTTTCAAGTTTCTTTAATCAATTAATTGGCCACCGTTCCTTAGTTATGAACGTACGAAAAACAAATAATGCACTTCACCTAGATGAAAAGGTTGCGCTTGGCAGATGATATACAGAACACTTTTCGCGTGATAAATACGTGGCTGACTTCTTTGTGTCGTCTTCAGTGCATGCGCGATGTATATTGAGTGGTTGTTACCACAGTGTATCGTCCTTTCTCACAGATTTCGAGCGGGCCTGGGTAACTACGATAAGATGGTCTAAAACAAAACCTGTCATTCTTATCCTATGCATTCTCGTTCCTTCTTAGTGTATTCTTCCCATTTAGTGTTTTTCTCTTATCCTACGATTTGTGCTGTTAAGCTAAATGTAATTTAGCAGGTCAACTAAAAAAATATCGCGGCCTTCCAATATATTTACTTCAATTTTCCAGGCGTTCTTTTGCTTCCAATCCAAGAAGGTTGACAACGACGCTTTTAAAGGTAATTTTTTTTTGTCGTTGCTATTTTCTGTTTAGTGATCAAGTAGTTTTTTCATGGATTCATTTGTCCATTCATTTCAGCCATTAATGACAGCTGTCTTGTGTTTGACGGAAGATTAGTCATCGACGCAGATTTCCACACAAATGACCCATGCATTAGGGCTGCAGGACCACTAACGAAATTCCAGCGGAGATACCATGCAGAATCTTGGTAATGTATCATACTTATCATAATAAGTTGTCTATGGTTGTCATAATTATCGGTCGTTGTGGTGGCCCGCCTAGAATGACGGATTACACTGCAGTCAGATGTACGTCAACGGGAGATTACGGAAGTTTAACATTTAAAGACCCGTAGATCAGCTTCCATATTCTCCATATTGTTGTCCATACATTTTTTAAGGTGTTGACAAGAAGAATTTGTTTAGCAATCAAGAGCGTCTTGAGTTGGCGATCACCTTTTATTTTTGTAACCTGGATGTGTGATTCAGGTGTGATGTTGGAAAAAGAAATCAGATGTTCGTCACCCTCAGGGATCAAAGTGCTTAGTCATTGAGTCTTAGGTAACTCGCTTTGGAAGCTGGTAGATGAAAGTGAAGCAGTGTATGCTGTGTAAACACCTTTTGATTTCCAATCTGTATACATGTTTTTCTACATGCATTCTTCAACATTTTTCTCGTTCTCTTTTCATTTTTAGGACTCATGGAAACTTCAACTCCAAGGAGGTAGGTGAAGAACTGGCGCAGTCTTTGTTAACATTGTTTGATCCCACCCTTGACGCCATGCTTCTCGACACGGAGACCCCACGAGAGCAGCATTTACTGATACCAATATACACCAAACCGAAGACAGTCTCTGCTATGTTACCAGGTGAGACGACTTCCATGCTAGAGAAAATTCAGCGCACAATTGGGTTAATTTGCATCACTGCACTCTTTGATTCTCGCGCGAAACTCTCAAGAAATCAGAAGAGAATAAAAATAACAGTTAACAAATGAGTGACGAGCATTATAGACCAGCACTAGTTTAGACTAGTTTAGACTAGACTAGTTTAATGTTGTAATTTGAGATTGCTTTGACTCTACTTTACGTCGTTCTGTGAAAGTAGTGCAGGCTCCCAACCACTCTGTCACTCTCATTTTCCTGCGTGTTATCTCTTTGATGTAGAGTTTTCTCGTGATTCCCAACAAGCTCCTTAAGCGTAAGTGGGAAAATCTTCGACTTTAGAGCCGAGAAAGTTTTTTTTCGCTTTAAACTACCCTTCAAGACAATTAATTTGATTTTATTAACTGACGAAGGACTAACGCTCGGAACGTCAGCTTTAGAAACTCTTTGCGGTGGTAAATTTACATTATTGACTCAGATGATGAAACCAAATTATCTCGTAATACCCCAAACCGACGTAGCACCACATTTTCTTTAGAAATTTACCTCCTTTCTCTTTCGAGAATGTCCTTTAATTTGGGGTATTTCGGACGTTTATTTGAACAACCAAAATTTAGGACGCGTATAGCATTTGGTGCTTGAGGGGAAATCTTCAAGTAAAGTACAGTTAAACCATTTAGCACTATAGAATCTGATCATAAATTGGCTCATGAAAAAGTACGCGCGCCTTCAAAAGAAGAGGCTTTCAAATAATGAACTTAACGTTTCATGTATTGCAGGGGGATATAATTACTTGCAAGTCGGTAAACCAAGCTTGAATATTCCATTAGACGCTCACATGGTACAGCCTGAATATGTAAGTAGGGAGGATTTGTCATAGAAAATATTGATTTTCATTGTAGTTCTGTAGCTTAATGAACGTTTGATGGTCAGGCTATCCGGATCGTATTGATCATGACATTTCGACTGCTATACTGCTAGCTTTCGTCAGGCAACGAGGTCGAAAGTTCACGTGTCGCTATTTATAGTACCTTGGTTTTCTGTTTATAATGTGTTTTTGCGCGCTGTCATTGGTGTATTTCGATCCTCATTATTATTACTGCCCCTTGTTAGAAAGGTGAGATGGAAAGTTTATTTTAAAAGGTATATAGCATACACATGAAAACATATCATTTTCATCTCCGCCATCAAAGAATGTGAGGGAGGTTGTAATACCAAGCGGGTTTGGATGCAGCCATTTTGAATCTTGCTGAGCAACCCGGCCGCTGCATGGCATATGAATTCTTGATTCGAAAAAAAGTACATTTTCCTTTCTTACAGGGCAGGGAACTTATCACCGGTAAGGACCATGAGCAAGGCTACTTCCGCTTGCACGTGAATCAGCACCGCTCCATAGAGACAATCACGTGCTACACTCGACAGGTTAGTGAGACCATCACGTGTTTAGTTGTGAAGTGCGCGTGTTTCTTCTAAAGTCTTAGGAAGGCGGTGAGAAATTGGTGGTTTACAGTTCTTCTCATGAAACCAAAATGTGAGCATCTTAACTTCAAACACTCGGAATCCCTCTACTTACTCCTCTACTCTAACTTTACACTTTTAAATTTTTCGTTTTAGAACTTTTAAGGTGGCCTTGTTTAAAGTGAAGACGCCATCCTGTCATCTTGTCTCATTCTGTACCTTTTTTCTTGTGTTACAGGGGCTTGATACAAGTAACCTTGTGTGTTTGTATGCCCTACATGAGCGATACCTGAACAATTTGTTGCAAAGATTCGACGAGGGGCTCATAGATGATTTCTACAGGTACAAAAACGAAGAGTTTTCGTTTTCTTACTTTGGGGTTTGTATTGTTGTGACATATAGACCAATGAATGGACGGACATAAAGTTAAGAAGGTAGGCGGGTATAAGTAGACATAAACAGACAGGCAGACGGTCGGACAGACGAGCAGACGAACAGACAGATAGATAGACGACAGATTGACAGACAGACTTAAAAGGAAAAAACACATGATTATAGGGGGTTGGTTTTTAAAGAAACTGTGGTATCACAGATAATTTGGTTTCAACAATTGAGTCGATATTGTAAGTTGGCCACCGTGCAAAGTTTATAAAGCTGGTGTCGAGCGTTAGCCCTTCTTCAGAGTGAAAGACAGTCAGATAGATAGACATGCAGACATACAGAGAGACAGATAGACAAACAGACGCAGACAGACTGACTGACAGACTGACAGACGGACTGTTAGCCAGACAGAGAGAGACAGATTTCCAAACAAATACATAGACATTCAGACAGATAGGTGAGCAGATATACAGACAGACAGATAGACAGAAAGACAGACAAAAAAAAACCAGACAGATTGACAGAAAGAGTGACAGACTGACCGATAGACAGACGGACAGACAGACCAACAGACAGATAGACATATCAGCTGGCAGGCTTCAGCTAGGCTTGATTGAAAACCGGAAGGACATTCAGGAATGTTGTTAATGTACAATTAGTTTGGAAAACACTACTGACATTGGTATATCCAAATTATGACTTGTCATCGCTTTCAAGTCCTTAAACGTTTCTTTGTGCATATTTTAGCTTTTTCCGAGAGTCCTGGTGCCTTGCCGTTTTCCACGATAGATTCAAAGATTTCAGGGATGAGATAAGAGAACTTCTTGTGGCAAAACCTGTAAGTAAAATGTTGGAAATTATTTTGAGCCATAATCTATAAAGCCAAAACCAGAGTGGTCACAACCACCAATCAGAACATCGGTTTACATTATCATTAACCAATCAGAACAACGGTTTACATCGTCATTAACCAATGAGAACTCAAAGTAAAAAACAGACAACCTACTTGAAGCGCGGGAAAACGCGAGTGACCAAGTTGAGATTGGTTTTAGTTTTACATTTGATTGGTTAAGATGGCGGCGCGAGATTTCTGGACCAATCACTGAGTGAAGCAAAGCAAAACTAAAGCAATTCAAGATCACTTTCGATACTTAATTGAAAACTTCTCTGTTATGGATCTCGATGCCAAGTATGTGCCAGCTATGGAGTTTTTAAAGGCATCATTGAAAATTTATGAAACACTACCGTCAATATTTTATGCACTTTCCATCAATCCTTTTTTTCCCTACTTTCCCCTTATAAGTCCCAGAACATTATAACTTTGGTTTTGAATTTATTAAGTGCTCACTACGACGATTATGTTATGACTTTAAATGGTGTATGTATCAAGCTAAAACAGTGTTGTTACATTTGCCATAATTCGCTTGATACTGACAGGCGCAGTAACATGTGTAAACCTATGTAAACCTGTGTAAAAGTATTTCGTTGCGATCTTGACCTAACGCTTAAAGCTGTGTTACCAGAATTTCACGTACATGTTGTATGCGTAAGTCGAAGAAAAACAAGCTTATGGTATAAACTAACCCGAAGAACTGTACAAGCAAACTAACTTAACCCTCCCCTCTCAGTCCGCCGATGTACCGTCATTGGAGGAGAAAGTACGGAAGATGATAGACGAAGACTTAGTGGTGAGTTACTCTGACGTCCAAGCTCTTTGCTTAGTGTTTTGGTACATACACAAGTCGACAAAATTGGTTTGCGATAGCTTTGATATAGATGGTTACAAAAGAGGTTTTCATTTATGAATTGAAACTGAAAAACGTCCTATTAAACTTGTACCCCACGACTGGCACTTGAATGGTCAAGCTCAAGGATTCTGGTTTAGAGCGTTTTGAGTAAGACCACCCTCAACGGCATGATGAACAGTACCTCATGAAAGTACTGCTCGTTAGATTTAATATGAATTGTTACTCACTCTATAGCCTGCGGGCAGGCCTTTATTCTTATTAGCGCTGCAGAACGTGCGTTTTTCCGCTCGCACGAAAATTTCAGACGAGTCAAGGAGAGGTTTGTTGGGGTTCGAGTGTTAATTGCGTTGCTCCACGTCCCATATATTCCCGCGGGCGAAGAAAGACTCGTGCCGAAGTGTTAATAATGAGGGCCTAGGTACAATTTTTTAAGTGAGAACCACCTCGGACAAGAAAATAACATGAAGTTGGGGCTTAGCAGCTTTCTTACGCACGATTGCTCACACACTAGGCGTTTTAAATCCTCAAAACATTGGAGGCACCTTGTTTATTGTAATAAGCCGTATCATCTCAAAGAATTATTGTGAAACTTGCAGTTTAACAGCATTATAAACGGCGTACCCTTTTCAATTTTTATTTTCAGTTGACCAAGGATCAGCGCCGCGTTCTCTCAGACTCGTACATGGCTTCATCTGCTAGAAAGGCAATCGAGCAAAGATTGCTTGGATTCCTCAGCTACAACTCCAATCACTTGCCCATGTATGCCAAACCTGGCATGGTGTGATGTCATTTAACTCGTCATCGGCGTTTCCTTTTTTGTAGATAAGCGTGGTACTATTGGTTGATTTCACTGCTTCAGTGTTACGCAGGTTCATCGGAAAGTCCAAACGGTTTCGATAAAACTGCAAGGGCTTGTGTACTGTATATTGTCTTCGAGTAGTATCGAATTGAATGGAAAATAAGGAATGTAAGGAAAATAAATTACTGTTATGTGTATATCATCGACGATCGAGAAATAAACCAAAAAAAAAATTATATTTAACATCGAGTATGTGGTGGCTTCTGTACTTCGACAGGCGAACCTCGTACCTCAAGATGGCGGCGTTTTTACTTTGGGCTTAACTCACCTTAACTCGTAAACTTTCCTGTTTGCGGTGACAATTTCTAGATCTACCATTTGTAATAAAACCCAAATATTCATATTCATACTTCTTTTCATTTTTAAATACGGCGAAAATATACATATTTTCCATTGCTTTATGATATAAGTTAGTGAAATATTGAATGTAAAGATCGTTGTTAATCAGTTCAGGTTAGGTTAAGAGCAATTCATTGTTTCATCGCTAGAGCTCTTATTCGCTCCTGCAAATATTGACCACATTCATCTGGCAACCTCAAGAGTAATAAACGAAGAATCACGCCTGAGAGTCTCATGACTGACACGAATATTCATGGCGCCTCCTGGAGTTAAGCACTCTTTAAGTTGATTGTGCACAATAAATATGTGCATTGAGGATGCACAAAACCTTTGAATCAACCTCACTTTTTATTGGTTTAAACACTGAATTACTTGCGTTTGAACATTTACGTGACAAAAAAAACCAAGCAAATAAAAATACAATGAGTCTCAGTAATTAAAATAAAGTGGAATTGCATTTTCAGGATTTAAACCCGTTTGTATGTTTAAGGGAAACATACAAGAATTAATTAACAACTTCGCTTGAGACACGAATATCATGCCATGTGCATGTCCATGTGCAAAGTTATTATATCGGCCAATCAGAGGAGAGAAATTTATCTCAAAGAACCGATACGAATAAAATAAGAACAAGAAAACTGCAAAAACCGCTCGAACACGCGGGGGTGTAAGCAGGGCGGGGAGAGGTTAGATATAAAAGTTGCAGTAGAAGGATGTATAATGCTATTGAAGGGAAAGGGGAGAGGGGCGTATAGGCGCGCGTATTCGACGAGTTTAATCTACGATGTAAGGAGACATGAAGTCCAATAATTGACGAAACGTGTTTGCTCATAATGAATCTCTCTAGTTGTTATCGACTGCCTCTTAGGGAGTATTATAGTAACTTATCCTTTCTTAATCATTGTTTCGTCAAAACTCTTTAATTAATTAGAGACCATTAGCCAGGCTACTTCCGCTTGCACGTGAATCAGCACCACTCCCTAGAGACAATCACATGCTACACTCTACAGCAGGTTAGTGTGACTATCACGTATTTAGTTGTGAAGTGCGTGTGTTTCATCCAAGGTCTTAGAAAGGCGATGATAGACTCCTAGTTCAAAGTGGAGACGCCATCCTGTCATCTTGTCTCATTCTGTACCTTTTTTCTTGTGTGACAGGGGCTTAATACAATCAACCTTGTGTGTTTGTATGCCCTTCATGAGTGATACCTGAAAAATTTGTTGCAACAACTCGACGAAGTGAGCATAGGGCTCACATCACCATTAAAGCTGTGTTACCAGAATTTCACGTTCATTTTGTATACATCAGTCGAAGAAAAACAAGCTAATGGTATAAATTAACCCAAAGAACTGTACAAGCAAACTAACTTAACCCTTCCCCGTCAGTCCGCTGGTGTACCGTCACTTGCCCATGTATGCGAAGAAGAAGCCTTAATTCAGACATTCAAAAGTTTCCTACAAAATGCAGCGATTATGTCGCCGAGACATGGAGGGAGCTCTTCCAATTTACAACTGCAACTGTGATGAGAGGACTGAGGAGAGCAAATATTGGCACCTGATCATTGTGGAATGGATATCAATCGAAAGGAAAACTGAGATTTTACTAGAGATGATGTTAGGAGGACACCATTCTAACGTGGACAAAATAGACATGACAACAACTACTAAGGGGGGGAGGGGTAAGGAGGTACATGAGCTGAAAGAAGCCTGACGTTGCGCGAGGATTGAGACGAATGAATATTAAAACAGACAAGGAGATAGTTGCGTCTAATGAAGCGCGAAGAAGAATAAAGTTGAGGACGATGAAAGAAGAGTACGAAAACATGAAATAAAGGAAACATACGATAAAAAAGGGAAGGATGGAGGAAAAAGCGATGCGCAAATGTGAAAAGCTGTAAAAACTTGTGTTAGAAAAAAGGTATAAAAGGCGCACACATGTAACAGTATGAACACGTCTGTCGGCGTTCAAAACCGTTTGACAATATGGAGAACGATAGACAGTGGAAGAGACACAATCTAAGAAAGGAAGCGCTTCTGTTAAGTGGGTGGGGACTTGAAACATGGAATGTTACTTCACTGTCAGCTGCACAGATTAGCAACCTGGCGCGCGCGGGTCAAAACAGGAATTGAAGTCCCCATAGGATCTGTTCTCTCTGCTTCTTACGTGAATCCTTAGAATGTGGAGACAGACAATGAAAATCAACGCAGTTTTTTTATTTTATACACTGTTTATTTCTATTACACAAAGAAGTAAAACAAATAAGTACAATAGAACTGCATTGAATTGTTCAAGGCTTTAAGTAAAATACGCGCTAAACGGAGGCACTAAAATGGACCCATTTACTTCCAAGACTGATTATAATTTAAATTATCCTCACAAAATTAATACACCTACAAAAATGGTGTCCAGAATTAGAGAAAATCAAAACTGGAGGATAATTTTATGCTACAAACGTAATGTTACATCGAATTCTAAGAATGAAGCAACAAAGAAACACATTCTTATTATTTAGGAGAATTTGTCTTCAGAACTTGGGAGTTCATGAGTTAATTAAACTAAGGTAAATGAACAATTATCTTCCACTGTAAATAAAGATAGCATCAAAATACTTCACATGAAATTCACTGACGTTATACATTGGTTAAAAGCGTTCCACCTTGTCTTGTTTTTAAAATCCTACGTTATATCATATTAAACCATGTGCAAGGTTAACTACTGCATTTTCTACCAGCATATACAAATGGTTGTTACAAAAGTCTGCAAAAGTAAGATTGATTTTACAAAAATTTCTTCTAACACAGCTGTGATACAGTATATCTTAAACTTTTGACCGCATAACGGGTTCTAATTACAAAGAGTTCTCTGAATACCTAAGTATAAATTCTTAAATCTAAGAAAGATATTATCAGACATCTTCAAATTATACTAAGGTAAATTTAAAGCCATGAAAAAAAGTTCAACAGGGAAAATTTCAAACAGTGAAAGTTTTCTCCAGAAGCCCAGAAACTTTTCAACTACGGACTAGTTTGCGTTTATTTATGAACCATTTCACCATATTATTTCCCATTGAGGACTACATGGCTTTTTTCAATTGCTTCTCTAATTTATGGGTGTAAATATTTTCCTATTAAAACCAACAAAAAACAACCTTGTCACACATATTAAAAGTTAAAGCTATAACTTCAGTTACAGTGAGCTCTGCCTCGTTGTTTCCTTGTTTAGATTACATGGACAATTTTTTACCTCTCTGTCGTGATTCTCTAAATACATAAGTGTTACATAGAACGGACTAAAATTAACCAAACTCGTTTGATTCAAATCAGGGTTGTAGCCAGCTTTTAGACTTGTTGAAGGCCTGTTCCCTAAGAAAGTTCAATTTTTGTTTCAACATTAGCAAGAGTCATATTGTCAAAGTCAAGCGGGTGGAAAATAATTGTAGGCCGGGCCTACGGGACTAGAGGCTGGCTACACCCTTAAAACTATATCTAATGTCTCTAATTTATGGTCAACAAAATTCAATAACATCATCTCGGATGTTTACTTCTTCAAATCAAGCTTAGAATGGCAATCTTGGCAGTGATAGAATTAGATTGCATTAAAATGGATTGAAAAAAAAAATGATAATCTACTTTTAGTAAAGATAATCTCAATTTGTAACAAAGAAATTTTTGGTGTAGAAAAATCATCCAAGTTTAATCAACGTACGGCTGAAAATTTTGAAGATCAAATTTTTGAAATAAAAAATGTGCCAACTTTGCAAATGACGAACTGTTTCTTTGCTTATCAAAAGCTTAAAGTATAGACGTAATTAAAACCTGATGGACTGGCTCCTGGTTATATAAAAGTAAAAACCTTTTAAAGGCTTTCATATGATTTTCAAAGGTTTTTTTGTTTTTGTATGGAAAACAATTTAAAAATTGTTTTCTATACAACTGATTGTAATACAGGAATAGAGCTGAATGTCATTTTGGCGAAAACGGAAACTTCCTAATCGCCTTCAACTACTGCACGCATTCATTAATGAAGCCTTGTTACATTTCGTTCTCTTCACAAGCATTAAATTTGTTAAGGTAAGAAGAAAGACAATTCCACTCATCAAACTGTTATGAAATAATCTGTTTTTATTTCCTCACAAAAGTAAAGTTACACATCTCAAGTTCCATTTAACGAAAAAGTAAAAAGGTTATGAAAAATAGCCAAAAATTGTCAAAATAGAGAAACATTTAAAACTTCTAAGTTCGTGAGTCATTCTTTTTGAGATGAAAAAATAATTGATTTATGTGATTTTATATTCAAATTTTATCTTTCTTTTGCCATAAAGTCAACACTGACGTCATCTCCAATCAGTAAAAAGGGCGCCCAGTATTTGATGTCGCGGAACTTGGCTGATTCTCTGAGGCTTCTCATAGCCAGGTTCAGTGACTCGCTTGCAGATTTTCCTTCAGCAAGGTGTTGATAAAAGCATTTCATGAACTCGAGAGTAGCCTCGTCATCAATCGCCCACAGGGACACCACAACAGACCGGGCACCAGCCCCCATAAAGGCGCGCGCAATGCCAACAACACCTTCAGCCTTGATCTCGCCCTGACCACTGTGGCAGCAACTGAGCACCACAAGTTTGGCACGTAGTTGAACATTTAACACATCTCTAATTGTTAAAATGTAATCCTCCTCTCTTGGCATAGTAGATATTCGCTTTGGGTCAGGAGTAAGAGCAATTTCGCCAGTTTCCATACATCCGTGTGCCGCAAAGTGAACTAAGGAAACGGAACTGAGTCTTTTCAACACCTCACGTTTCGTGGCCTGTTTGCCAGTGATTGGCGTGATATTCAGAATTTTTCCGATCATTTCTACTTCTTCTTTAGCACACGGAAGCCGTTCGAAGAATTCATCTCCCTCGCTATCAGTAACCTCGGCTACCCACGGCTCTCCTACAAGTAACGCACCACTTCTTTTGTGATAATCATCTGGGCAATCGGCAAAGAGTCTAAGACTTGTTAACGAAGGAGCGAGTCGGATTCTGAAAGATTCACACAGATATTTAGAATTACCATCCATGAGTGCAGCGTAAGGAACGAGCCACAGGGGTCCATCGGGAATAATGAGTAGCTCATCCCCTTGAACCAGGTCAGCCACCGGCTTCATAACGATATCATACAAAGTGCGCAAGCATTCGTTTTGTTCGATGGGAGCTTGAGGGTTGTCCTCTTTAGTTTTCTCATCCACTTTTGAACAGCTCTCCCTCAAAGCATCCAAAGATCGATTCTCGCATCTCCCATCAGAAACAACACCAAGTTGCGTATAGACACCGAGCATGAACGACTCAAAGGACTGG